AAAAAAAAAAAAAAAAAAAAAAAAAGGTTCCGTACGTCATGCGGACTGCGCCCCTCGTGTCGGTTGGGCGGGAATGGAGGGTAAAAAGCCGTTGGGATTAATTAATTAATTAATTAAAATTTAAGAATATAGGTCAGGTCAGAGATAACAAAATAATCTAAAAGGCTAGGCCTAGAGTTGTTTGCATATCTAGTAGGCGCTAATTCATTAACAACGAATAGCGCAGATGCTGAGATTTGATCACGCAGTTTGATACTACTAGAGTCATTGACAAGTAAATTAACATTAAAATCACCACAGATAACACAACATTCATAATCTATTAAAAATACAGACAATTCAGCGAAGAAACAATCTAACAGGAAACATTTGTGTGGATTATACACACAAGAAATCAAAACTTTGGTTATACCGTCGGAAACCTCTGAAATTATAAATTCTGTATCAGAACCTGCAGACTTTGCAAGAAGCTTGATTTTAAGAGATTTCTTGCAGTATATGGCCACACCGCCCCCTTTTTTGTGCTTACGATCGTTCCGAATCACATTATAATTGTTGATGCAGCAATGAAGGTCAGAAATAAGATCACTAAACCATGTTTCAGAAACACAGATAATGTCTACTAAAGACTGCTCAAATATGTATCTAACATAGTCCATTTTATCAGAACTCAGGCTCCGTGCATTAAAATGAACTATGTTAAGACCAGTCGACTGTTTACACAAAATATTAACATAAGCTTATGGTTTCCATCAGCGCCAGATGCTTGTGTAACAGTCATGTTAAATTAATTACTTTGCACTGAACTGAATAAGAAACAACTATGTAAACACAAAAAAACAAAAGAACAAATATATACATATGTGTGTATGAAAAGCAAATAGAAGTGAAAGAATTGAAAGTGAAAGGAACAAGAAGGGAGAAAAGAGAAACTTGGTAAAACTTAAAACTAACATTACATACAAACAATTTATTGCAGGGCATAATTGATTTGACAAACAAAACATGAAACTGACTGCTTTAAGTTGTGCCGACAATTTCATCAACACCTTTCTTGTCGTACACTCGAATCGCCGCATCGCCATCCCTTTTTCGTACAAGCACCTGACCGCGTATTGAAAAAGCAGCTGAGAGATGTTTTTGACGTCTGAGTTGGGCGGCATAGTGCATAATCTCACGGTTCGCTCTCGAAAGGCTTTCATGTATGTGGATGCTTGATGTACCTTCCACAGCAATGTCATTTAATGCAAGAGCTCTTTTGTTTGCTTTGCAGTAAACCAGCTACTGATTTGAAGAGTCTAATGCGCGCATAAGAGGACTGCAGCTTAACAACAATAGGTGAAGATGCATTGTCGCTGCTTTGTTTCGTAGCCGGCGCTCGAAATATTTCTCTTACTGCTGGCATCTCATGTTGTATTGCGCTGCAGATGTTAGAGAAAATCTCCACACAACTCTTATTCACAGCGTTAAGCTCGTCGGCGATTTCAAGCATCCGTTGTTGGTTACCCCAGCAACGAGTACATGTGTGAGTGTCGGGTTGAATGTCGGGTGCTTGAAGCTTGCCCGGCGACACTCAAGCATAAAGCGTCAACACCATTTGTAATAAAATTTCGTAGTGGGCGGACGTAAACATGTCTTCATCGGATGACGATTTTTTGCTACTTGCCACTAAAATCTTTATCTTCCGCGAACTTGCTCATTTTACATATCACAACAAACTAACACACTAATGCTTGTCAACGCTTTGCGCCACTATCAAACAGACCGCTTGTCAAGCGGTCGCGTTGATGGAAAATCAAAAATTTTTGATTTTCCATCAACACGAGCCGACAACAAGTACGTGTGACACGACGATCTCCGATTGCCTCGGTTGCTGGGGTAACCAACAACGGATGCTTGAAATCGCCGACGAGCTTTAGGTATGCCGTTGATGATCAAGTCAGTAGCAACGGTCTCATTTTCATACCGAGCCGACTCTCTTTTCAGCGCTAGCACTTCAGCTTTGAGAGAAGCAATCGCCTCACACGTCGATTCCACAGCAGTCAGCCTCACTTCCAAGAACTTTACCGTAGTCTTAATGCTCTGCATCTCCGCTGAAATCTCATTAAATCTCTGCATCAGTCTCTCTTCAGTGCTCTTTATACTCCCACTCAGCTGTTCTATCATGCCCTGCTTTTGTTTTTCCATTTTCGCCTCCAGCTGTTGTAGCCAATGTGGAGTTTGCAAACTCTCACCATCTCGGCATTTACCATGATGGGGGGTGTTACCCTTCGGCGGGGACAACTTTGCACTTCTTGTTACTTTCTTTTCGACCGACATAATGCAAATAGAATTATTTCAATTTCCAATTATTTCAATTTCAGCGCGAAAAACAACGTTTGCTTAAATGCAGAAAATCAGCGGCAGTTTAACACACAGGCCTTAGCTTGACAAGTATTAAAATCAAGTATTAATTAAAGAAAAGTTGACAAAACCGGCAGCACAATGTTTACACGTCTACTCAGTCATACCGCTCACACATTCAAGTAAAAAAGTAAAAATCAATAAATAATTATTATTTGTCATTAAAAAAATAAAAATCGGATAATAATAATTAAATGTTGATCAATATTTTTTAACTTATAATGATTACCATCCCTGATTAAAACAAAAAAAAAATTGCATGCATTGTCAAAAATTCTCTGCGCCAATAATTTTGGGCGACACTGTAAGTTTATTTTGAACTTT